AATTCCTTTAAATATATGAGAATAGTTTTATCAAGAAAACTTTCTTCCTTTGGGAGGATAAGATCTTTGTTTTTATTTATCTAAATTGCAATTATCATATGAGGGGTGTTTCACTATTTTCATCTTTTGGTTTTACTGTTGGGCACATGCATTTGATTTTTATAGAATACAAACAGATCAAATAAAATAACCATTATGGGCATAATTAGAAACTTACTACGTGGTCTCTTTTATATTATGGCAGAGGCTTGATTCCATTTTTTAACCATACCTTCACTGTAATTCTTACATCAAAAGCCACAATGACATTTGGAAATGTTGGAACAAGAGTATAATGTTGACTCTTATTCATTTAATCAACTGAATAATTCCAGTTTGAAATTAACAGGGTTGTTTTTTTTTTTTTTGGTGGGGGGGATGGAAATGTTCTGGGCTGTAGGGTATTAACATTTTAAATCAGGTTATAGCCAATCTAGTTTTAAACTGAGTTACTGCCAGAAGAATGTACATGGTCTAAAATAGCAAAATAGCAAAAAACTACATTTTGTTAAAAAAAAAATTTATTTCATAGTTTGGTTCAGATGCTTCAGCAATATCTAGAACTCCTGAAAAACTATCAGTATTGGAATGTGTGTTGGATAACTGTAAGGCTGCAGCATCTTTTTAAAAAAGTAGTATTTTTTTATATAATTTTATTGAAAGTTTTAAGAACAATAATAAGAACTAAATCAAAGAAAAATAGGACAAAGATAAGAAGGAAAGAAAAAAATAACAGAAAAAGCTAAAAGATGCAATAAGAAAAAAATAGAAGAAAATAGAAAAAAAAGGGAAAGATATAATAAAGATATAAAAGTATAAAGTGGCTTCCGATATTCTTCACAGTAGTACAATTATATTTTAACCTCTCTCTCTAAAGTTACATCATAACTCTTTTCATAATGTATCCTGTCTAATCATCAAAACCATAAATCACAAGTTCATTTTTTTCATTTTTACGCAAAA